AGCAAATTGTTCCAGTAGTGATTAGGAACTTCTTCATCGGTCATGATTTCAAGACTCCAAGAAAAGGTTCTGTTCGTGCACCTTATGCAGTAAATGAAACCTGCGGATTCAGATGAAACCTGATTTTCTGAGTTCTGCTTCTCGTTTTCTTGGCGACCTTAAAATGAATTCAGAAAGAAATGTACCGGATGCAATCGATGATATTGCAGCACCATGCAAATTAAATCAAATGAACACATGGGAACCGAGGGTTCAACACAACACAGGGTTTCCCCCATGACATCGGAAAACTGTAGGACGACACATGTTGGTTAATCTAGTTCGCTGCGGATGAAGGGGCGTGTCAGGCAGTATGAGTGTGCGGCGGCAAACCCGTTCTCTGCCAGTTGTTGAAGCGGGTATGCGACAACAACTGGCAGAAAACGAGTGATACGAACGATATGATACAGCTTCGTCACTTGCTTGCTTCAACAACTAGTGGAGAACGGGACTGGCACCGCGCCAAACTCATCCCGCTTGACATGCCCGTTCGTCTGCGGCGAACAGACTATGCCTACCTATGCATTCTGGTGCAAAGCATCTACACCATCTGGGTTATCTGACGCTACAACAGACATAGTTCTTTCATTATAAACCCTTAGGCGTTCGTGCATTGTCACTCGAGAGAGTCATCGTTCTGGGAGAATAGGCGCTTTGAGATGAAAACCGTTTGCACACGTCCCCACATGACGCCACATCTAGGTGCTCTGCTCTCTTATTCTTCCATTCGCTATACAACGACGATCCTTTTACTCTCGTGGGACGCTAGATCGATATCTACAAATTCCTTTTCGCTCAAAACGACTATTATTACAAAACACCAGACCGACATATATGCTGTTCTTTTTCCGTGTTCGTCAAAATGGCGATTTTCCTGAGTCGAAAATTATGGTCACAGCCTTAAAGGCAGCGCCCGCGTTCATTTGTTGTTCCCACGCTCTCTTTGGATATCGTAGCTCACCCTATGAGGATGGTGGACGTACTAGTTTCGCAACTCAAAAATGCGAGAGAATAGCGGCGCCCGCTCGTGAAGAGTCGGCCACCCCGCCCACCTGGCGACCACTACGCCCAACTTCATTTCTAATGGTTGCCTGATGGTGCGGTTGTTCTGCTACTAACTCTCTCCACTTCGAATGGTGAGAGTGAGGTGATAAGGGAAAACAGCTGATACCAACAAGTGAGAACTCGTGCGGCCGCGCCTTCTCTTCGCCTTAAGCACGTACAACCTCAGCTCGGCGTGGGGTCCTATATAAGGCATATCCGATGATTTTTTTGCAAGTTTGCTTCACTAATGAACTGCGTGCTACCTCGTTGTCACTGTCTGAGCCCATAACTCATCAAATTGAACGCGCACGTTGACACGACGGCACCTGGCGCCGGCACACCATTGTATGGTTCAGCCCTGCATCGGCCCGTTCAGGCTAACTAAGCCTATCACCCCTCCGGCACTAGTGAATTGATATCATACTCGACTTGGAGAGTAAGAACAAGGGTTCGTACATCGGCAGGCCCCCTAAGCCATCGCACAGGCGATATGAACATGAGTAGACCGTTACGGCCCTCAATGGAAACGAAAGCTAGCCACACCTTAGGCACTGTTCACAGTCTGCGACCCTGACGAAACGGCGGTTGGGCGAAAAGCAATAAATGCGTATCGATTTTGCTGGCGAAAAACGCCAGGGCGATCGAGCTAGCGTTTCGCGAAGGCGAAAAACGCCGCGGTTCGGCGAAACGCCCGTCGATACGTATCAAACTGTTTCGCCCAACCGCCAATCGATGCATCGAAAGCTTTTCGCCGGACCACTTCTTTCCAGAGAAACGCTGGGCCGCAGACTGTGAACAATGCCTTACCAGGGATTGGTCAACGGCCAAACCTCATTCTTAATG